GCCTCTGGAGTTTTATGTTGTTGGTGGTCTGTTGATGTCATCCACATCAAATCATGCAGATCCTTATTGGGATATGCCTTCTGGAAATTGGCTTTCAAATGCCTAACACAGTAACGATGGTAGGCATAAGGTTCTTGCCATGCAGGCAAGTTCTCCACAGAACTTAAGATACCATCGTGCCGATCAGATATTAGACATATACCGGAACGTTGTTTCACAACGTGCTCTTTCATATGGTTCAAAAACAACGTCCACGTCTCTTGGCTTTCATTGGCACAAATAGCAAAAGCTAGAGGAAATATCTGTCCATTAGCATCTACTGCCACGGCTATTAACAGCTTGATATCGTACTTTCCATAGACATGAGTACCGTCTATGGATATTACGGGGCGACAATGCAAAAACCATCAATTGCTGGTTTAAACGCCTAGAATACGTAATTGAATATATATTCTGGTTTACCTACACTTCGCTCAAGCTTCCACTCAACAACCGTCCCGGGGTTAAAATGCTATAGTGCAGCCATGTACCTAGGCAGATCTGCAAATGACTTATCCCAGTTACCATACACTATTTCAAACGCTCGTTTGCGCCTGAGAAATGCCTTTCTTTTAGTAATGGTATGGCCATGTTCCTGCTGGACTGATGTAATGCACTCTTTGATTTTATACCTTATGGACTGTTCGATGTGTGGAATAAGAACAAGAGAAATCAAGTCAATATCCAAGTTGAAGTGATTCCCGTTGAATGTGTCCATTTCGCATGTGTGGGTGGGAATGTATTTACCCACTTTCCACATACCTGTCTTCTTCTTGGTCGCACGCAACATCCAATTACATGGCCAAAACCACCTGCGGCAAACAACCTTGTATACCGTCGGACTTGACTCCCATACCTGCATCTCATGACACTCTTTTACGTTGTGCATTTTACAAGCCCTGCTTAGGCGCGCTTTATCAGGAAAAAGAATCCCCTTTGCAAGCACCGTTGGTCTAGACTCATCCCACATTGTTGTCCGGATTTCATCAAAATCCCTTGTGAGAGCTTCCACATCCGGCACGGTTGGCAAGTTATCAATGTAAGGAATCTCTCTTGAATGAAACGGCACTTCGGACTCATACACTCTTCGTCTAGGGGGGTCTCTCTTCAAATCAGGTCCTTCCTCCTCATCCTCTGCATCACCATCCTCACGAGCAAAGGTTGTCTCATCCCCGGATTCATCCGCATTGTTATCGTAATCACTGTTCTGTTCCTCACTCTGTGCATCTGCCAGGTCCCGATGTAATACATCATTTTCGGGCAATTGAGTGAGTTCTACTTGCTCGTTTTCACTGCACAACCAACAAAAATATAAGCTACTAAATTAATAAATGATTTCCATATTTTTGCATAAATCACTTCACTTACAAGTCGTAATGTGATAAAATTCCATGATGGACGTTATCAATTAGGTGATGACTACCGGATGGGCCACTTGTAAAATTCATATCCGGCCGCTACCCCCTATTAAATATGTGAGCGTTAATATAAATTCAATACAACAAAAATATACATAATTAACACAAATGAAAATTGAAATTTACCACTCGTCTTGTGAGTTATGGAAAGCAGGGTATAAATTATTTTCTCGCTGCTCATTCACCGGCGGTGATAAGTTTAAATCAAAGATAACTCTTTCATCCGAAACTTGTCTGGCAAAAACTGTTCCAGAATAACCACCCGATGACTGGGGGTTATCTCTACTACGCACAACCTCATTTTTTGGAACGTCTTCGACCTTCACGTACATCTCCAACATTGTGATTACAAGAAATTTCCGATATTCGTCCGGAGTCCTCAGAAAATCACTCAAAGTTTCATCACCGTCGATGTTAAACTCCGAGTAAAAAGCAACCCCTTGCGGAGTGACGGAATACGGATATCTTCCGGTTACTTTAAGTATCACTGAACGTTTCCTCACACTCATTTTTTTTGCATAACAACGATATCAATGTATCGTACTCCATTGTTAAGTAGGCAATTTAACATGACACTTAGCAGGTAAACTGTAGCCCACGGAGTTATTCTCCATCACAACCTCACCCCCCCAATATAATGAAACTCTTATCCTACGCTCTTCAGACATAATGAAAAACTGCTGGAGAATTTAACAACAATAGACGTTTCAACAAGAGTTAAAAAATTTTTTGAATGAATTTCTATACAATCCTAACCTCTTTATATAGGAAATGGCTAGCCGGGATTTTT